AAGGGGAAGGGAAGGAGGAAGGGGAAGAAAAGAAAGGGAAGGAGAAAAGAAAGGAGAAAGGGAAGGGAAGGAGGAAGGGGAAGAAAAGGAAGGGAAGAGAAGGAGAAAAGAAAGGAGAAAGGGAAGGGAAGGAGGAAGGGGAAGAAAAGGAAGGGAAGGGAAGGAGAAAAGAAAGGAGAAAGGGAAGGAGGAAGGGGAAGAAAAGAAAAGGAAGGGAAGTCAAGGGAAAGGCCTTTGGAGCAGGTCTTGAGCTGAATCTAGAATAATCCGTCCTCATCTGGAGATAACATTCCTACCATTTCAAATTCCACCTCATTCCCCTTCCTCATATTTAAAGCCCTTCCCAGCTTCCTCTAATGACCAGCATTGATTTCAGATGTCCTGTTAATCTTGATAGCAGCCAATTAAATTGACATCCCTTCATGGTTGTTTGTATGATTGGTTACGCTTTAATTAGCCATCTGACCCAGCAACGGCGGCAAGATTTTCTTCCTTAATTGGTTTCTCTGGCAGGTCGCAGCCAAGAGCCCCCCCCTTCCCCCCCCCAAAAGGACAGGGCCGCCCTGCTCTCCTCTGCTGGCTCTGGAGGCCCCTTTGGAGAGTTTCCCCCAGAGCAAAAAGGGGGTGGGGGGAGCAACGCCCGAACGGCCCCCCCAGCCCCAAAACCACAGGAGGAATTTATTCATTTACTGGTTTTTGGATTTATTTCATTCTCAGCTCAGCAAACGAATTTGGGCGGCTCTCAATTCAGGAACACATCCAGGTCGTCTCCCACTTACGGCCAGAATTGAGCACAACGTTTCCATTGCTAAGTGAAACCTTGGCGAAGGGAGTTTTGCCCCGTTTTACAACCTTTCTTGCCACAATTGTTAAGTGAATCGCTGCGGTTGTTAAGTTAGTGACATGGTCGTTAAGTGAATCTGTTTCCCCCCACTGACTTTGCTTGTCAGGAGGTCGCAAAAGGGGATCACGGGACACGCCCACCGTCATAAATGTGAGTCAGTGGCCGAGCGTCTGAATTTTGATCACGTGACCACGGGGGGGGGCTGCAACGGTCATACGTGTGAAAAATGGTCACAGGCCCCTTTTTTCAGTGCTGTTGTAACTTTGGTCACTAAATGAACTGTTGTAAGTCGAGGACCACCTGTGCTGCAATTAAGATCTGAAAGGACATTTTAAAAGAACAAAGAGCCCTCAAAGGCCCAGTTCAAGGACATCGAGAGCAAAGGTGCAGGGGGCATCCCAGGCTTTACCCAGAGGCAAGTGGGGGGGGCTTCCTAGGGGCAGGGCCCCAGATCCAGGCTGTGAAAACCCATAGGGGACTGCGGGTGTGTGTGTGTGTGTGTGGTTCTGCCCTAGGAAGAGAGTGGACTAGATGATCTCCATGGTACCTTCCTCCCTGTCTCCGATTCCCTGGTCTCCCTGGCTGCCCTCTTCCTGGCCCTGAGACCCTTTTCTCTTCCCTTGGAGCCCCCTCCCCTCAGCAGGGACCCCGTGTATCTGGGGCCCCAGGGCTCCTGGCATCTCCAAAGGGCTGGAGGGGGGGGTCAGCCTTTGCCCTTCTTTCTTTGGGGCTCCGTGGAGCCCCTGAGCCCTGCCAGCCGCAGCACTGGGGAAGCCCCCCCCCCCTGCCTCAATGTGGGGACTTTCTCCCGTGTCCTTCAAACTCTCTTTTGAAGAAGAGATGGGACACTTGTCTGAGACAGGGTAGGCCCTCCTGATGGAGCAGGGGCTGGACTAGAAGACCTCCACGGTGCCCCCCTTCTTATCCTGTCCTTTCGGTAGCCCATGTCAGGCTGGGGGCCGGGGGGCGGGGAGCGCACCCCTCCTGTTCCCAGATCCTCTGTTGATCCCGTTTCGAATGAGATCCTTTTTCCAAGGGAGCCCAAAGCAGAGAAGCCAATTAAGGAAGAAAACCTTGCTGTCATTTCTGGGCGATGTCGTTAATTAAACTGTAACAAATCATACAATTACATACACCGTGTGGGGACATCAATATAATTGGTTCCTCTCAAAACGCCGCCTCCCGGCTGCCACCTCAGCATCAGCTGCCTGGCTGCTCCCCCAAACCTGGCAGCCCCCTTTCTCCCCCCCCCTTCAGGACTCCCCCAGCAGCCCCCGAGTTCAGCCCCTGATTCCGCGCCTGGGGCTGCAGGGCGGCTGGGAGAGAATCTGCAGCCGTGCCATGCGGGGGGGGGGGGGTTTAGTGCCCTCCAGGTGCCTCTTCCCAGCCGGCGTGCCAGGTGTGGGCACCCGGGATTGGCAGGAAGGAGGGCAGGCTGGCCAACCTGCCAATGCTCTGGCTGAAGTCAAGCCACTGGACCTGGACTGACCCAGCGGCTGGGGAGCCTTGGGGCCCTGGTGGCACAGGGGCTAGAGAGTGGCGTGGCAGGCTGTCTCTGCCCTCAGTCAGCAGTTCGATCCTGACCGGCTCAAGGTTGGGTCGACCTTCCGTCCTTCCGAGGTCGCTCAAATGAGGACCCTGTAAACACCTTAGAGAGGTCCCCGCTCCCCCTCCCCCGGCCGGGGCTTCCAGGCCCTACAAAAGGCCAAAGGTCACACACTTACCAACATCGGACTCTTTGTGGGTTTTGATGATTTCCGCCAATTCAAAGTTGCCCGCAATGATGGCCACCTGCAAGCAAAGAGGCCAGAGTGAGCCGGTTGGCTGCTGACCACAAAGTTCTTCGAGGGCCACTCTGCCTCACAACAGCCCTGCGAAGTAGGCCCTTTGACTTCTTACAAGGAGAGAGGGATGGACGCACTCCGTCCCAGCTGCCAAGCCCAGGAAGAGCCGGGCATGGTGAAGGGGGTTCTTGGCCCCTTGGGAGGGATGCCCGGTGGGCTCAGGAGAAAAGGGCCAGTGACCCTTACATGCCCCATTCAGCCCCCTTGCCAAGGATACCGGGGCTCGGCCTACACTCCTCCCTGTGCTTTTATTCAGGGGGGAAGAAAGAAGCAGCTCCAGGCCCCCCCCCTCAGGCTGGGGAGACTCTGACTTCTCCGAGGCCCACTTCAGATGGGGGTCCGGAAGAGGCAGCATTCAGTTGCCCACCCCACCAGCAAGTGGAAGCTGCACAGTTCAGTTGGGGTAGTTGGGATGCCCTCTGTGCCCCGATGCCCCTCTCCTAGAGACCGCACAGCCGTGTGGTGGAGAAGGCTGGCAGATGGCGCTGGAGAGAGAGGGAGCCTGGTGGAGGAGTCAAACGGGGACTTAGACTGCCTTCCCTACGTGGGGAGATGAGGGTGACGTCTGGCCCCCTTTCAGTGCCCTTCAACCTTATGCAATGGGGCCCCCGGAGCAAACTCCTCGTCTGGGAAGATTCCCGTAAAAGAAGCACAGAGCAATAAAGAAGCCGATTGAAGCCTTGCCAACCCAGCTCTGGGTCTGACAGACTGTCTGGTCCAAGCAGAAGGGGAGAAGGGGCAGCGGGGAGGCTGAGCTGGCCCCACGTGGCTCCCCTTCTCCAGCTCCGCACCAGGGGGAGGGATTGCTCGGGGTGCTCCTCCTGGTGTGACCCCCTCCCTGGGCCGCAGAGGAGATACCGTCCAGAGACTCCGCCTTTTCCCTGAGGACTTTCAGGCAGAGGAAAGGGGGCTCGGGCAGGGGTCTCATCCCCCCCCTCCCCAGGCCTGGAACTGCAACTGATCCAAGACGCCTCTTTCTGACTTGAAGTATGTAATGGATACCGAAGGGCGTGAAATGCAGCTCTCCAAGTGGAAAAATCACAAAGCGGCTGCCTTACCTGGGCCCAGACAGGTGGAGGTGGGGGGAGGGGGCTCGCGCCAGTAGCAGGGCTTCAAGGGGACGGGAGGAAGAGCCCAAGGGGACTCCGGGGCCCCTGGAAACGGGTTTGGTCAAGAAGAGAGAGCCCCGATCCCAAACAGCCCAGGTCCTCCTCTGGGGCAACTCCATGGTTTGATAGAGCAGCTGAATCCCACTTCAATGACAGGACAACAGTGGGAGGGGGCCTGCGAGGTCTTCTAGTCCAACCCCCCCCCCACTCAGGCAGGAGACCCTGTGCCATTTCAGACAAGTGGCTGTCCAGTCTCTTCTGTAAAAGCCTCCAGGGATGGAGCCCCTCCCCCCCAACCTTTTAAGGCAACTTCTGTCCCACTGGTTAACTGTCCTCCCTCTTAGGAACGTTTCTCCTTAGTTCCAGGTGGCTTCTCTCTTTGATTAGTTTCCGTCCATTGTTGCATCTCTTGCCTTCAGGTGCTTTGGAAAAGAGGTGGACTCCCCTCTTCTCTGTGGCAGCCCCTCAAATGAGCCCAGGTGGCGCAGTGGTTAAATGCAGCACTGCAGGCCACTTCAGCTGACTGCAGTTCTGCAGTTCGGCTGTTCAAATCTC